GTAGACACAGGGGTCAGCTGCATTGTGCCGGATGTTTAGGTGGACCGGAAATCCCCATCTGTAGGTAATGTTAGCATCTTGCAGGGCTTTGGTCAATGGTGCTGGGATTTTGTCTTGGTGGACATGGAGAAGCCAGTGTAGATTTGAATCCCAGTGAAGTGTCCTGTTAGAGACTGGCATAGTCGGGATACGCAAAGTACTTTCTCTTTTGAGGTAAAATACTGGAGCTTTGCTATGATATCTCTTGGGACTGATTTAGGTAAGTGTTTTACCATTTATTTTTGTTTGTATAGGATACAAAAAGAAGAAACGGGACAAAAAGGGAAAGCACATAAAACCCACAAAATAAGAAACACATTAAAACAGAGACAAAAAAGAGAAACAAATATATATGAAAAAAAATTCAAATAAAAAGGAGATGCAAAAATTGGTGCATATTATAGATAAAAATATAACCCTAATAATCATAGTAATAGCTATAATACTAATATTAACCCCTTAAGGACACAACTTCTGGAATAACATGGAATCGTGACGGAATATCTCCGTCATGTGTCCTTAAGGGGTTAAGGACTGATGTAGGTAATTTAGAGAACGTCATCAATTTTGGATTCTGTCTATTAGTAACTCTTGAAGTGTTAGCTCTGGGTCCAAGGACTAGAAGAGATCCACAGCGTAAGTCTGGAGCTCTTATGATTTGATATCTTCGGGAACTCTGTGAAGGCGGATATTGCTCCATCTATCTCGTTCTTTGTGGTCATCTACCTTATAGGCCAGTGACTCTACCTTGCTACTGAGCTCTGTGTAAGCATCTGCCAGAGAATTATGAGCTCTAATCAGTTCTTCCATTTTCTCTTCTAGCTGAGCTGTTCTCTCACCAATAGCTTGGATATTAGCCCTTGTGTCTCTTGCAAGTTTAGCAAATTCTCCTTGAAGGAGGATACTACACTGAACAAAATTATAAATGCAACACTTTTGTTTTTGACCCCATTTTTCACATGAGCTGAACTTAAAGATCTAAGACTTTTTCTATGAACACAAAAGGCCAATTTCTCTCAAATATTGTTCACAAATCTGTCTAAATCTGTGTTAGTTAGCACTTTTCCTTTGCTGATATAATCCATCCACCTCACAGGTGTGTCATTTCAGGATGCTGATTAGACAACATGATTATTGCACAGGTGTGCCTTAAAAAAAAAAAGGCCACTCTAAAATGTGCAGTTTTACTTTATTGGGGAATCCGGGTGAGTCCGAAAACCAGTCAGTATCTTGTGTGACCAACATTTGCCTCACACAGTGCAACACATGTCCTTCGCATAGAGTTGATCAGGTTGTTGATTTTGGTCTGTGGAAGGTTTGTCTACTCCTCTTCATTGGCTGTGCAAAGTTGCTGGATATTGGCAGGACCTGGAAGAAGCTGCCATATACATCGATCCAGAGCATCCCAAACATGCTCAATGAGTGACATGTTTGGTGAGTATGCTGGCCATGCAAGAACAGGGATGTTTTCAGCTTCCAGGAATTGTGTACAGATGCTTGCAACATGGGGCCGTGCATTATCATGCTGCAACATGAGGTGATGGTCGTGGACGTATCTCACAGAGATGAGCTTCCCTGAGATGGTTTCTGACAGTTTGTGCAGAAATTATTTTGTTATGCAAACCGATTGGTGCAGCAGCTGTCCGGGTGGCTGGTCTCAGACGATCTTGGAAATGAAGATACTGGATGTGGATGTCCTGGGCTAGTGTGGTTACACATGGTCTGTGGTTGTGTGGTCGGTTGGATGTACTGCCAATTTCTCTGAAATGACTTTGGAGATGACTTATGGTAGAGAAATGAACAATTAATTAACGGGCAACAGCTTTGGTGGATATTCCTGCAGTCAGCATGTTAATTGCACGCTCCCTCAAAACTTACCACGTCTGTGGCATTGTGCTGTGTGATAAAACTGTACATTTTAGAGTGGGCTTTTATTGTGGCCAGCCTGTGGCACGCCTTTGCAATAATCATGCCGTCTAATCAGTATCTTGATATGCCACATATGTGGGCAATAGCAAATCATCACCACCCTCTTGGGCCCGCTGGTGCGGCGGTGTCCCTTGATATCGTTGTCCCTTGATATCTGGGATTGTGGGGCTGTAATTTCAGTAGATATGTGCTTCAGTGGGTCTTGGCTATTTGCTGTATTATAGCTCAAGATCTGAGGAGCATGCGCATTATGCAGCCATCTTCCAGCGATGTGAAACACTCCACTCCCGAATGGAACCCTTGTTCTTGTGGCCATTTTTAAAAATATTTTTTAATTCAAGAGACAAAAATCCTTTAAAACTGTGCCCAGCACCATTAGGAAGCAGAAAACCACACTATCAGGGTTAATAACAAAAGTGAGAATTGTTGGTGAAATTCAGAATTAAGGTGTAAGTAGCCAAACTGGAAATGTACTCTCAGTCAGCTATGCTTCCAGTTTGACAACTTTAACTTTAAATGTAAAGAAAGACTATAGGGTCAGGAATACAAACGTGTATTCATGACCCTATACTGTTAAAAAAAACATTTTAGCCGCCCTCCCTTACCCCCTTAACCCCTTAAGGACACATGACGGAAATATTCCGTCATGATTCCCTTTTATTCCAGAAGTTGTGTCCTTAAGGGGTTAAATAAAGTAAAAATGTACCTTAAAGGATCACTATAGGATCAGGAACACAAACATGTATTCCTGACCTTGTAGTGTTAAAACCACCATCTAGCCCCCGTGGACCCCTCATGCCTCCATAAATATAGTAAAAATCTTGTATTCAAGCCAGAATCTGTAGATCTGTATGCTGTTTGCATAAAAAAGAAGCAGTCTGCTGACATAATCAGAAGTGGTAGCCTGATCCAATCAGAATGCTTCCCCATAGGATTGACTAAGATTGACAAAGAGGCAGATCAGGGGCAGAGGCAGCATGATTCAAACACAGCCCTGGCCAATCAGCATCTCTTCATAGAGATGAATTGAATCAATGAATCTCTATGAGGAAAGTTCAGTGTCTGCATGCAGAGGGTGGAGACACTGAATGTTTGGATGCATTTTAGGCAGCCATGACCCAGGAAGGATCTCTAACAGCTATCTGAGTAGTGGCCAGTGAAGTCATCACTAGGCTGTAATCAGGGCCGGCGCTACCATTAAGGCAAATTAGGCATTCGCCTGGGGCGCCGACCTGAAGGGGGCGCCCACCTGGAGGTTTCTGGGTGGGCTGCTCCTGTGGGTGGGCAGCAGGATTCTCCTGCCTGGGGTCGGAGCGTTGGGTAAGTGGCTGTTTAGCCAAACCCCAGCGCAGCCATATCCTGTGCTCCCTCTGCCTCCCTGATGCTGCAGAGCCGATCATCTGCTCAGGGAGAGGGGAACTGTTGAATCCCCAGCACCCTAGCAGAGCACTGTGCTTCCTGCAGGCATTGGAAGCCAGGATGTGACCTGGTATCCCGGCTGCCCCCTGCCTGTGAACACAGGAAGCACAGTGAAGGGAGCAGGAAGCAGCCTGTGCTCACTGTGCACGGCTCTCCTGCTCCACCAGGAACCAGGGCAGATACCTGCAGGCTGAAAGATGATCCCCTTCTCCTCCAGTCACATCAATAGCACAGGTATGGCATCACTGGAGGATAAGGGGAGATGGTTATTATTGTGTGTATGTTTGAACATTGGTGTGTTAAGTTTGTTTGTGGGTGTGTGTTTTAATAAACTGACTATATGTAAACTGGTGTGAGTGACATTGTGTGTGTGTATTTCAGTGAGAGTGTGTGTTAGTGAGAATGTGACATAGTGTTTGTTTGTGTGTATGTGTGTGTTTGTCAGTAAGAGTGTGTGTGAGATGGTGTGACGTGTGTGTGTGTGTGTGTGTGCCAGTGAGTGTGTGACCAGTTATATTTTGAATACATTAATATAATTATATATATTATATTTAAAAAAAAAATGTTTTACTTACAGTGTGCCTTTCAGACAAGCTCTCTGTCGCACACATTAAATACCACCATTATCATAAACTAAATGCACAATAGTATAAGTTAAATCCCACCAAATGAATTGAATACATTTGTTATAACAACCATAAATGTATACAATGTAAAATGTATATGTATTAGGCAGTATGTGCATATGGATGTGTGTGTTGGGCAGTATGTGCATATGTATGTGTTGGGCAGTATGTGCGCATGGATGTATGTGTTGGGCAGTATGTACGTATGGATGTATGTGTTGGGCAGTATGTACGTATGGATGTATGTGTTGGGCAGTATGTGCGTATGGATGTATGTGTTGGGCAGTATGTGCATATGGATGAATGTATTAGGCAGTGTGTGTATAATGGCCAGTAAGTGTGTATGGTTGAATGTATATATTAGGCAGCGTGCGTGTATGGTTGTATGTATTGGCAGTCTGTGTGTGTGTATGGATGGATGTATTGGCAGGGTGTGTGTGTATGGATGAATGTATGTATTGGCAGTGTGTGTGTATGGATGGATGTATGTATTGGCAGTGTGTGTGTGTTCATATTGGACAGTTTCTTTTTCCCCCCTAAATGTCTGCTCACAAAATGTCTCCTAGTCTGTATCAGTTTCCTAAAAACCTCAACAATCTCTCTATCCCTTTCCTAATTGCCTTCCCGGTCTGTTCCCTTTCCCTAAATTTATCACTGGTCTCTCTGCTTTCCCTTAGTCACTTAGGTGTCTATTCACTAAACAGTGATTTGAAAAAGTTGAGATGACTTTATACAACTCTTCTGTTTTGGCCTAAATATTTATAAGTTATATTTCAACTCCCTGTTTAATGCAGTGGCGGATCCAGGGGGGGGGGGCAACGGGGCAATTGCCCCCCCGAGAAAATAGTGCAGCTGCCATCAGTTGAGCGACCTCATTAGGGGCTCGGTCGGGTGCTGCAGCCCTTTGGCAGACCGGGCCCCTTTAAAGTTGCAGGGAGTGCTGGGAGGAAGTGACTGTTACTTCCTCCCAGCATACAGACCGCACGGGCTGAGAACACCCAGGATGCAGCTGGGAGAGAAGACACAGGCAGCAGGCAGCTGGAAGAGAAGGAGGAGGGAGGAGAGAGATCTCTGCAGCTTCAGACTCCCATCAGGCTCAGCCAGCCTCAGGAAGTCACCTTCCTGCAAAGAAAAAGGTATTTAAGCAGAGGGGAGAGGGGAGGGTGCTTAACATTATGGAAGCTGCAATTTGTGTATGTTTATGTATGTGTACATCTGTGTGTGTCAGTGTGTATGTTTATGTATGTGGACATCTGTGTGTGTCAGTGTGTATGTTTATGTATGTGGACATCTGTGTGTGTCAGTGTGTATGTTTATGTATGTGGACATCTGTGTGTGCCAGTGTGTATGTTTATGTATGTGGACATCTGTGTGTGTCAGTGTGTATGTTTAGATATGTGGACATCTGTGTGTGTCAGTGTGTATGTTTAGATATGTGGACATCTGTGTGTGCCAGTGTGTATGTTTATGTATGTGGACATCTGTGTGTGCCAGTGTGTATGTTTATGTATGTGGACATCTGTGTGTGCCAGTGTGTATGTTTAGGTATGTGGACATCAGTGTGTATGTTTAGGTATGTGGACATCTGTGTGTGTCTGTGTGTGCCAGTGTGTATGTTTATGTATGTGGACATCTGTGTGTGTCAGTGTGTATGTTTATGTATGTGGACATCTGTGTGTGTCAGTGTGTATGTTTATGTATGTGGACATCTGTGTGTGTCAGTGTGTATGTTTATGTATGTGGACATCTGTGTGTGCCAGTGTGTATGTTTATGTATGTGGACATCTGTGTGTGTCAGTGTGTATGTTTATGTATGTGGACATCTGTGTGTGCCAGTGTGTATGTTTATGTATGTGGACATCTGTGTGTGTCAGTGTGTATGTTTATGTATGTGGACATCTGTGTGTGTCAGTGTGTATGTTTATGTATGTGGACATCTGTGTGTGTCAGTGTGTATGTTTATGTATGTGGACATCTGTGTGTGTCAGTGTGTATGTTTATGTATGTGGACATCTGTGTGTGCCAGTGTGTATGTTTATGTATGTGGACATCTGTGTGTGCCAGTGTGTATGTTTATGTATGTGGACATCTGTGTGTGCCAGTGTGTATGTTTATGTATGTGGACATCTGTGTGTGCCAGTGTGTATGTTTATGTATGTGGACATCTGTGTGTGTCAGTGTGTATGTTTATGTATGTGGACATCTGTGTGTGTCAGTGTGTATGTTTATGTATGTGGACATCTGTGTGTGTCAGTGTGTATGTTTATGTATGTGGACATCTGTGTGTGTCAGTGTGTATGTTTATGTATGTGGACATCTGTGTGTGTCAGTGTGTATGTTTATGTATGTGGACATCTGTGTGTGCCAGTGTGTATGTTTATGTATGTGGACATCTGTGTGTGCCAGTGTGTATGTTTATGTATGTGGACATCTGTGTGTGTCAGTGTGTATGTTTATGTATGTGGACATCTGTGTGTGTCAGTGTGTATGTTTATGTATGTGGACATCTGTGTGTGCCAGTGTGTATGTTTATGTATGTGGACATCTGTGTGTGTCAGTGTGTATGTTTATGTATGTGGACATCTGTGTGTGTCAGTGTGTATGTTTATGTATGTGGACATCTGTGTGTGTCAGTGTGTATGTTTAGGTATGTGGACATCTGTGTGTGCCAGTGTGTATGTTTTAGATATGTGGACATCTGTGTGTGTATGTTTAGATATGTGGACATCTGTGTGTGCCAGTATGTATGTGGACATCTGTGTGTGTGTCAGTGTGTATGTTTAGGTATGTGGACATCTGTGTGTGTATGTTTAGATATGTGTACATCTGTGTACATCTGTGTGTGTATGTTTAGGTATGTGTGTATGTGTGCATCTGTGTGCCAGTGCGTATGTTTAGGTATGTGGACATCTGTGTGTGTCAGTGTGTATGTGTGCATCTGTGTGCCAGTGCGTATGTTTAGGTATGTGGACATCTGTGTGTGTCAGTGTGTATGTTTAGGTATGTGGACATCTGTGTGTATCGGAGTGTCAGTGTGTGAATCTGTGAGTGTTAATGTGTATCTGTGTGTGTACCACAGACTACGTCGTCCACTGCACTCAGGTTCCGCTTTTCACTCTGGTCCACAGCCTCAAAGGTGCTCTGGATTAGATAGACACTGCTAATCCGTCCAACAATACAAGGTTATAGAATATACAGGCAACACACCAGGTACCGAAGGTGTATTTATTCGAGGGTAGAACACCACATAAAAGTGCAACTTTTCAGCCCTAGAGGGACTTAAACATGATTAAGGCCCCCAAGGGCTGAAACGTGTTCTACCCTCCAATCAATACACCTTCAGTACCTGGAGTTATGCCTGTATATTCTATTACCTTGTATCTGTGTATGTGAAGGTATGTGTGTCATTCAGTGTATGTGTAGGGATGTGTGTGTGCGGTTTCGCCAGTGTGCATGTGTAGGTATGTGTGTATCTATGTGCCAGTGTGTGTGTGTGTGCCTGTGTAGGTATAGGTTTGTATCTGTGGGTGTGCCAGTGTATGTGTCTGTATCTGTTATTGTGTTTCCATATCACTGTGTGTGGCCGCATATGTGTACAGCCTCTATCCCCTAAACAAGAGTCCCCTATTCCTCCGCTGCAGCCTGTTTCACCCCGCTCTAGCCCACTTAAGTGCCCCTCCCGAGATTTGGTTCTGGATCCGCCCCTGGTTTAATGAATAGACAGGGAAAAGAAAAGAAGAGAAATTGACAGAAGATAATTATCGGATTATTCACTAAAGTGAGAATTGTAAGTGTAAGGGCAGAGTAGCCAAATCTGGAGAATGTTAACGGGTGTTTTGACCATAAATTAGAAGTTCAATTTGAATTCCCAACAATTCTCACTTTATTGAATAACCCTATTGGAATAAAGAGAAACAGGCTGGAGAGAATCAGTTGCATAGAGTGAGCAGATAAATCGTGAACATAGACTGCAAGCTTTTGGAAACAGAAACAAAGGAGAAAGCTGTGGATAAACGCTAATGAGAGAGTTTGGGCACTATGGAGGAAAGGGACAGCTGATCAGACCTAATTAAAAACCAAATGGCAAAATTTATACCATTTAGAAGAATTCGCCAACTCAGCTACAGTCACAGTTCAGCTGTTTTTGCTTAAACTATGCAATTCGATTTCCAATTCACTGAATTCATAGTTTAGTGAATAAACTTCTGAGAGAGTGTAGTTGCATTCAAGAGGGGGAGGCAAAATGGATCTTTGCCTAGGGCGGCAAGAATCCTTGCACCGGCCCTGGCTGTAATGTAAACACTGCATTTTCACTGAAAAGACAGTGTTTACAGCAAAAGGCCTGAAGGTAATGATTCTACACACCAGAACAAATTCAATAAGCTGTAGTTGTTCTGGTGACTATAGTGTCCCTTTAATTCCAGCACCATGTTGTTCCTCTGCTGCTGGCCCCACACCTGATAAACCTTTTTGGCTGAGAGTATCATAATTGATAATCTCAGGCAATCCAATGCTTTCCCATAGGAGCTAAATGCCGCCCTGGCCATCTCCTCATACAGATGCATTGAATCAATGCAATCAATCAATTCTCTGAAAATACAGTGTTTACAGCAAAATGCCTGCATGGACAATAGACACCACAACAATGACATTAAGCTGTAGTTGTTCTCGTGACTATAGTATCCTTTTATTTACTTTGAATTTCTGACAATTCTCACTTTAGTAAATAACCCTGCATATTGTTTGACATGATAGACTTGTTTTATATATTATGCATTGAAAAGCCTAGAATATTTAATAAAATTTTGACATCTTAAAGGGACTCACCACTGTCAAAAAATTTTTTTGTAAAAATAAATATATATATATATATATATATATATATATATATATATAACGGGTCAAAACGTCGGTTATTTTTTCAATGTAATGCCTTCTTTAATAAATCCTCTTTTTTTTCATTTTTAAAGTCCTGAGAGTGCATCTCTTCATTTTTTGTTTATATATCTTTTCAACATGGGATTGCACCCAGGCAAAAATGAATTGCTGTTGGAGAAAGGGTGAGTGCCAAGTTACTTATCTTTATTTATATATATATATATATATATATATATATATATATATATATATATATATATATATATATATATATATATAATCTCTCATATAATCTGCTTAGTATATATACCCCCAATCAATACATGTATGCATTTAATTATGCATTTTCTTTTTCCAATTTGACAATTTATACTGTTTTTTTATTTTTCAGGGATACAAAAAAGGGGGGGTTAGTGTGGTTGAAGGTAAATTGATATATAGTACAGTATGCTTCGATGCAGTATTTTACACTTGTATCCATCAACAGGTCACCAGCATGCTATCATAAGAGTCAACATTGTTTTCCCTGGGTGGGCATCGCATGGGTGCTTCTGTAGGACATGTATGGATTTATCAAATCAGTACTGAGCTGTGGGTGGATTAACTTCTATACAAGTGGGTATTTCTGTGGGTGTCATCTAGCGGTAGCAGACAACTCTGTGTCCAATTGGTATTGCTGATTATGGCTCAGGCCTTACAGCTCCTGAAGAGCGGAGGGGTGTATAGTACTTTAATGGGACAGCATTGCAGTGCATTGCACTACATTGCATAGGGGACTTGTCTAGGATGGGGTGTGTTGACACCTTAATATCCAATGTCCCTATGTTTGGCTTTCAAGCCCTGGATCTGTCTTATGGCTTGAGCGTTTGTCGACATTTTATGTAGATTGTCTCAATCACCCT